CTGATTTTGGGAAACTACCACATAGAGAAACAACTGGCGGTATTGTTCAAACCTTGGATGCTGCCCCCACCCTAGAAAATAGGGTTTAGGGTTTAGGGTTTTATGTGAAACTTGCAAACCCTCTGTACAACTTATATTCGGCACACACAGCAACACTTCCAGAGGAGTGCTTGCAGTTGCAGATAGGCTTTTCTTTTTTCTTTGCTTGGTCAAACGGTGAGCTCAAGGCCTACACAAATTGAGCATAAAGAGATTGCGCCGAACATCCAGCATACTGTCCGTATCACGTCGGATCCTGAGCATCCAGAATCCGTCTCAAACACAAAAAATATATGCAGAAGTGGTGGTGGAAACATGGTAGACGAAGTAGGGGCCGCACCTGACAGTGTCGATAGCTTCACACCCTCTTTGGGCACTGCACCAGGTTGCCGGCCATTCCACATCCCTGTCCAAAAGATAAGTTGCCTAAGCATGTGTCCCTTGACTTGGAGCCGTCCCCATCTGCAAGTCGTCATTGATCACGAAAGGGGGGAAGGGGCCCCAAGGGGAGGGGCCCTTTGCTTATCCTTTTTCATGGGATAAGCCTAGGATTGGCAAGTCAGAGAATAAGGATGGAATAGGCAATGGATAGTCCCAGAATAAGCGCTTATTACTGATTTATGCATAGCTTATGCATAAGTATAGGATAAGTGCTGGACAAGCCTATGATAAGGGGGCATGGCTTATTCTCCGACAATCCGTTGCTTATTCAATGGTTTGGCAAAATCCTTGGTAAACAGAGAATAAACCATGAATAAGCAACAACCGCTATCCCAGGACTATCCAGTGGCTATCCCCAAGCCTTTATTCCTCAACTCTCAACCCTAAACCCTGAAAACTCCTAAACACTAGACCCTAAACCCTGCCTTGCTTATTTATGATTTGCTTCCCACGTCCTCCACTCTCAACCAAACTTTGAACCCTAGACGCTGAACCCTGCACCTGTACCTTTCAAACCCAACTTTGAATCCTAAGTGTACGGAGAGAAA